TTGCAACATATTTTTCACATAGAAAACATTCGAATTTGGAGAATGCTATTCAGAGGATTTGTAGCCATTTGAGTTAATTTTTCAATGCATTTTGAATCACCTCAATCGGACATCTGGATGAGGTTCCATTGCTAGAACGAGATTCGTTCTTGGAGATACACGGAAGATAAACGATACCATAGGTTGAGAGCTTGTGTGAGGATCACGTAGTCCATGAGGACTAAGGTAATTACAGGGAGAAGGCTAGAAGGGACTAAGGGTTAGTCGGGTCTATACTATACTATAAGTCTCATCAATTATAATGGATTGTTGACTGACAAAATGCTCAGAGTTTTTATTCATTTGCAAAGGATTTTCTCAGTGATCATATTTGTGTTATTTATTTTATGCAATTTACAAACTGCATATTCAAACATAGGATAAAATTGACTTGTTTGATCAATCATTTATAAATAATAAAAAGTGATTTTCTTTTAATTGTATAATTCCGCACATTGGATGTAGATAAATTGGCTAATTAGAACTTTCATAACATGTCAAAGATACAATAAAGTTTTTTCCAAGCCACTTTTATGATCATGAAAGTGGTGACTATTTTTTATAAAGCGTTCGTTTAAGGGAAGAGCAAAATACGTTATACTCAACTCTTATTATGATTTTTCATATCATTAATTATTTTTCTTCCTACTTCGAATTTGAGCATAGGAGTGTCTATATTATGATGTAATCCAATCCATAATTAAATGCTTGTCTGTTTTACAGGTACTCATATGTTAATATTATTATCACGTCACTTGATACGATAATAGTTTGTAATCATTAAGAATAATTTTCTAGATATAAGCCAATAGAAAATACTTGAACTGGCATAACAAAAAAGACTATATAAAATAAAATTTTGTACTAATTTCACCATTAAATATTAAAATATGTAACCCTAATATGTCTGAATTACATCCAAAATATTGAACCAATAACGAAAAAAAGGATGATATGAAAGACAGCATTACAAGCAGGCCAATAGCAAGTTTGAAAGAAATCATCGCAGCCACCATGTACAGCGATCCCTAGAAGTGGCAGCGCAGAAGTTAATAGCAATCAGTTCCTGATGGAGTGGCGGCAGCCTTAAATTTTCCCGGCAAAGAGGGCACGTCATGTGCCCATAACCAAGCCACCTATCCAAACAAACTCTGTGAAACAAATGATCACATCTAAGTTCTCTGATTTCATCTCCTACCTCAATCTTGCATAAACAAACAGCACATTCTACTGAATCTCCAGAGTTTGAGTTATTTTCGTAGCACATAACACTAAGATCATCAGCATACTCCGGCAATCTGATTCCGGGAGACTGAACAAAGAAAGATTGATAAAGAAGATAATCCCACGCCCACTTCAGTTGTGTTACAACGAGAACTATATAGGTTAGCATAGCTGGTTGAGGCACTATCTGATTCTGAATCATTTTCTGGTATCAAATTAATTATCTTTGAACAGATTCTATTCAAGAAGGGAACTGAATAGAGGGCTGATAAGATATGTCCTGTATTAGCTTATTTCTGTCAAATGCCAAGTAGGGTTTCCTTAGGGTATATATAGACTGAAATAATGTTGAATTCAAAATAGGCTACCGGAGCCACATATTATTGATCGATATCAGTCGCCATTTATCTAGTTTATTTTTCATAGGTTTTTTCAACCACATATTCTATTAATAAAATAATATTACACGTAAATCTAAAAAAATTTCATACTTTTCAACCGCACATTTTTAAAAAAAATTACTGTTTCAAAATCCATTTTTATCAAATAATAGGGCTCGAACAAGGGCTCGGTGAATTAAAGTTGGACTTCTCAATTTATTTTTTTAATATAATCCCTGTTTGGTGGGGATTAAAATTAAATTTTTAGTAAATTTCAATAAAATTGATGGAAATGTA